TTCTTCCATTTCCTTCCATTCTTCATTCCATTCATTCCATTCTTCTTCTTCCTTCCTTCACTGTCACTATTGTCTTGTCCTTGGTCCCGTCTCCTCCTGCCCATCCAAACTGTTCCATGTCCTTCCTTCATTCCACTACTACTATTCCATATTAACAAGTCTTCTTTCCTTCCCACCCCTAATTCGTTAGATGTGTGTGGTGTCTCATTCCTTTCCACCTCCATTCCGTCCATATCCACCCTCCATGCTATCCATTTCCATTGTCATCTTCCACTATTTATCCATCCTTTCCTTCCTTGTTCCTTCCATTCCTATATACTATTTCTTTCATTCCTCCATTCCATTCCATGTCTTCCTTCATTCCATTCGTGTGTGTCCATGTCTTTCCATTCCTTTTCCTTTTTATATCCATTTCCATAGGCTTCCATGCCCACAAGATATTTCTTTCCATTATCTATTCCATTCTTTTCTTCCATCTTTTCTTCTTCATATCTCCTTTCCCTTCCGTTGTTCTTCCTTCCTCAAATACCATCTTCCTTCATCCATCATCTATACTATTCCACCTTCCAGTCCTTCCTGTCCTACTCCATTCCTTTCTCATCTATTGGCTTCCACTACCATTACAAGTGTCTCCATATTCCATTCCCTAGTCCTTCTTCCATCCTCCTTCCTTGGCTTGGTCTCCATTTTTATTTTATTCTTTTTCCTTCATGTCTCCACATTCCTTGTTCTCCATATTCCTCCGTTTCCATGTCCATTTATATTCATGTCCATGCTTTCCATTTCCATTCATTACCACTTTCCTTTCATTCTATCTTTCGTTCTTCAGACCTTTTCCTTTTCATTCCATTCCTGTTATTTTCCTCAAGTCCTTTTTCGTCGTGTTCTTTGTTGTCCATTGTGTTTATACCACTTCTCTGTCAGTGGTGTGTGTGTTTCCTCCGTGTAATTATCCATTCCGTTCATGTGTCCTTCTGTGTTCCTCCTGCCTGGGCCTGTGTGTTCGTGTGTGTCTCCATGTCTGTCGTTGGTCATCCGTGTCCTTTTCCATTCTGTGTCAGTGGGGATCCTGGTGTGTGTGTGTGGTCTGTGTCATTCCGTGGTGTGTCCATGTTTTCCTCTCGGGTCCATCTCCTGTCTGTCCATTTCTTGTTGGGTCCATGTCTTCGGTCTGTGGGGATTCCTTCCATGTGTGGTCCTGTGTGGTCCTGGGTCCAGTGATCCTTTCTGTCTGTTCAGTGTCCATCCTGTCCATTTCCTGTGTGTCTCTGGTCCGTTCCGTGTGTGGCCACTGGGTCGTTCCTTCCTGTTGGTCTTCCGTGTGGGGTTTCCTCCATGTCTCCTTGTCAGTGTTCGTTCAATGTCCTTGTGTGATAAGTCAGTGGCTGATCCTGGTCCTCTGTCTTCCATTGTGTGTTCACTGTCTCCGTGTGTGTGGTCAGTTCTGTCCTGGTCCACTGTGGTGTGGGCAGTTCCATGTTGTGTGTCATGTGTCTCTCGGTCTTCCTGTCGTGTCAGTCCAGTGGTCAAGTTCTGGTCCTCCAGTCGTTCAGTGTGTGTTCCTGTCCTCCACTCACCTCCTTCCTCCTCCGTTTTCAGTGCCTCCATGTGTGCCTCCGGGTTGTGCCTCCTCCACTCGGTGCCTCTGTGTTCCTCCACCTCTCCTCTCCTCCTTGTCTCCATGCCTCATCTGGCTCATGCCTCTCATCCACTCCATATCTCACTCCAGTTAGGTCTTCCTCCATGCCTCATCCTGGCTGTTGCTTCCTCTACTCCTTCCACCTCTCCTCCCAGCTCATTACTTCCTCCTACTCCTTACCTCTCCTCCCAGCTCAAGTATTCCAGGTCCAGCTCGTGGGGTCTCGATGTGGTGGCTGGTGAAAGCGAAGTGAGGCACCAGCAATAAGAGTTCTTCCTGCCTCTTCGTCACCTGTGCTTTGATGGCCTGCGTCTGTCTCGAGGGCTCAGCGGCCATCGCAATGGCCCCACCTGCAAATTAGGATTTTTATGGCATCTGCACCATTTTCAGCTTCTCAGAGACTGTGAAATTTATCAGTATGGTTTATCAAATTTACCTTGGGGAATAATTCAGCTATATGGATGGTCTGAAATGCCTGATTGTGGACCAGGCAATGCAGTGATTGACTGGCTGAGAATTAGAGATTCAACACATTTATCAGAGTCCCCAGGTCTGACTGTGAGATCCTGGTAGTTTATAAGCCTACCATAGATCATGTGTTGCTGAACAATTTGTTCAAAGCAATATCTTTCATGCTATTCAATTAAAGAGAGCAGAATATTCAGGAGTGACAAATGTCTTCCAGCCCTCGAAATAGCCCGGAGTCCACGCATTGGAGTCTTATAACCCCCCACTTTGGCATTACTGTGACATGCCTACTGCCTATCATGGACTGCCATATAAGTGTAGGCCTGGCTGTGACATGCCTACTGCCTACCTTGGACTGCCACACCAGTCTGTACATGTGACCAATATGCCTACCGCAGCGACTGGTTGCCACGGCTGATCGCCAATGGATTGACTGCCACACTTGTCTGTATGGGTGACTGTGACATTACCACTGCCTGGCTTTGACCGGTTACACCAGTCGATTTACATGCTTGACATGCCTGCGGCTTACCTTGGACTGCCAAGCATTAGTCCGTACATGTGACTGTGACATGCCTATAACCTGCTGGTTTTGACCGCCACACCGAAGTGCGATGCATGTAACATGCCTATTGCTTGCAGCGGACTGCTGCACTAGTCTGTACGTGCATGTGACTGTGACATGCCTCATTTACTGCTTTGGACTGCCACACCAGTCGAGTACGCCGCTGACATGCCTGCCTGTACCTTGACCGGACTGCTGCACTGGTGTGTAGTGTTACGTGATCGTAACATGCCTACTGCTTACAGCCCGGACTGTTTCGCTACACTGGTCTGTACGTAGCTGACTGTGACTGTGCTGCACCTGCTTACACCAATGGACTGCCACACCAGTCGGTCATACAGGCGTAACCTGCTATTTACCGCTTTTACCTTTGGACTGCCACACTGAGTCTGTACTTTCGTGATCAGACGACATTATTTACTGCCTCACCTTTGACCGTTCACACTAGTCTGTACTTGTGACTGTGACATGCCTACTGCCTATCATGGACTGCCACATAAGTGCGGTCCCTGGCTGTAACTGTCACATACTGCTCTACTTTGGACTGCCACACCAGTCTGTTGTAATGCATGACTGCTTATTTATGCCTACTACCACCATGGACTGCCCGCATAAGTGCGGAAGCGGCTGTGACATGCCTACCTTGCCTACCATGGACTGCCGCACTAGTCTGCCGCCGAAGTGACAGTGCCTACTGCTCATCTTGGACCGTCACACTAGAACGTATTGATCAAAGTATGCCTACCATTGCGTTGGATCACACTGGTCGTACACATAAGTGTAGGGCTTACCAGATGATAAGTTTCACCTGCCTACGTTGGACGCCACACCAGTTCGTACACATGATCAGGAGACATTACCTACTGCTTACCTTGGATTGCCACCAGTCTTCGAAGCCAGGCATGACTGTGACCCAGGTCATCCATGACGCTGTGGTAACGCAGCTGATGCGCTTCGAGGTGCTGTATGGATTCTCCGCGATTCACAACCTGAATAACACCAAAATTGGTTGCACTGACGTATGTCGCTGCCAAAAACCCCAATAAATACTGAAAACTACCAAACTCAGCGACAGGTGTACTCAGAAAGGTGGATTAAGATGACAGCTCTAGTAAGGAAAGAATTTTTAGCACCTTGTGAATGATGAAAGGCTGTGTAGAAAGCTATTTTAAGCCACAACTTACGCCTTATTTAGGTACATACAGTGAAGAAGTTTTCACACCTTGTGAACGAGGAAAGGCACTGTAGGGAAAACTATAATCCACACAGCTACTTATATTTGGTACATACCAGTGAAGAAGTTTTCCCACCTGAAATCGAATGAGGAAAGGCACTGTTGGGGGAAAACTATTTTCCCGCACAACTTCACTTATATTTAGTACATACAGGAAAGAAGTTTTCCGCAGCGGATGAATGAGGCACTGGGCATGTAGGAAGCCTTTTTCCACACAACTACTTATATTTAGTACATACAGGAAAGAAGTTTTCCACCTTGTGAACCAGAAAAAGGCGCAATTGAAAACTATTTGCCACACAACTTCCTTCTATTTAGTACATACAGGAAAGAAGTTTTCCCCACCCAGAATGGATATGAGGAAAGGCACCTGCTGAAACCATTGTTTGCCAATAACTACTTATGATTTAATTTTATACAGGAAAAGAAGCTTTCCCACACCCAGATGATGACAAAGGATATAAAAATTAAGGGGTCAATGTAAAGCCACAAGACAAATTGTTTATTCAGTTTCAGGTGAACATGTTAAAGCTGATGATTTTTGAGAGAGATTGTGTGACGACTAATGAGTGACTAAAAGCCTGTGTTGCACACACTGGGTGTCTTAGGTTCAGAGAGTGAGATTGTGAATGGGTCCAAATAGCACTGTTTTAAACATAATCCAAATCATTTTAAAGAACCTATCAGATTAACTAGCATCAACATTTGATTGAACTGTGAAGGACAATATTGGGTGAAACACTTGAAATCTAAGACAACAAAATGTTTATGACAGGAGACAGAAGGAGAACAATGCTCCAGCGACTATCTCTACACAATCCTTACCTTTAAATTGGCGGAGGGCAGTGAATACACGGGGGAGGAGAAGAGAATAGAATAACAATGAATGGGCGAGGAGCGACTATCTCTACACAATCCTTACCTTTAAGGGCAGTGAATGGGCGGAGAGAAGAGAATAACAATGTCGCGACTATCTAGCACAATGTCGCACAATCCCTCCTTACCTTTAAGGGCAGTGAATAACAATGTCGTGGGGAAGGGAGAATGGGCGGAGAGAATAACAATGTAAGACCCCATCTGACTATCTGGGCTAACAATATTAGCAATACACAATCCTTACCTTTAAGGGCAGTCGCGACTATCTCTACACAATCCTTACCTTTAAGGGGCAGTGAATGGAAGAGGAGAAAGAGAATAACAATGTCATCCCTATCCTCTTCTGAGGAATCTGGCAATCCTTCGTCTCTAATGTTTTGAGCAAAAAGCCTGGAAGAAGAAGAGCGAAAAGATTTACAAAAATACTTTTAGCATAAGCCTTACCTTGGTTTACCTAAGTGAGTCAGTATGATTTTCGCCACTTTTAGAGTCTTTATTGCTGACCCGGCTGTATTTCAGCAATATCCGCGGCAGGAGAGATCAGAAATGGGCTTCAAACATTTTACTCAGTGGGAATCGAACCTGGGTCTTCGGTGACAAGTGAAGCGCTTTAACCATTAGGCTACCCACTGCCACTACTTTACTTGAAAGAACCTGCTTTGTTCCAACTCATTTCCTCCAGCTAGAATATTGCTAAAGGTGGCGTAAAAACTATACTCATTCACTCACTTCTCTCTGCAGGAATATCTAAAATTACAGATGCAAACTCTCCTCTCAGGCGGTCAGCACAAAGACTTCAAAGTCTCAGAAAACCTGATCACAACATTCAAAACATCATGTTTGATTTCTGTATCTTAAAATGAGTGTAAATGGGCAGTTCAGATGCACATTGCCAGAGCCATTCTTCACAACACCCTAAAATATGTCCAGTTTATTTTTACACGTTTTGTACTTTGGTATTTACCGTGTGAGACAAACTTTCAGAAACCAGGGGTGTGAGGTGAGGGAGTGAGTATGGTTTACGCCGCTTTTAGCAATAGTCCAGGAATATCCGGCATGGAAGACCAGAAATAGGCTTCACACAATTTACTTGCGTCGGGGAATCGAACCCGGGTCTTCAGCATGCCAACCAATGCACTGACCACTGAACCCTAGGACTGAGGTTGTGAAGAACTATGGCCATTTTGGTCTGAGAGTGAGAATGGTTTTCGCTGCTTTTTAGCAGTACTTCAGTATTACCACATCAGAAGTTTTACTCCTTTTTCACTTGCGACAAATTCAACACTGGGTTTCAGTGTGATAAGAGAATGAATAAATCATCAGCCAACCCAACTGCCCTTTCAGCTGACACCTGACGGTTCAGATACAATACACCCTTTCGCATTGATTGAGGAGTCAAGAGACAGCAGGATTTTCTGCTTGACGCACAAAGTTAGTGAATGGACAGCAGAAAATCCCAAACACTGCGTCTGGAGAGACAGAAAAATACCTACAGCACATCAAGAGAAGTTATCTGTGTCTGGTAGTGGCAGTCCGATTAACTGAAATAATCGAAGATTGGTGCAGTGACTAAAGCGACCAAGCAATCGATCATGTTTTCTCATAATCGAACACAAACAATTCTGGAACACTTTTGCATTAACAATTGTTTTCACAAGGTTGGTTTTATCAGTTACATTTCATGAGCACTACAAGCTCGTTCCAAGTCATGATTGAATTTATCTTAAAGGCCCAAAGAAAGTTATGTTCCTAACATATTAGTCATCCTTTCAAGATGTGAAATTTGAAAAAACCCACTTAAGAACTACATGTTTTTTCTTTATGTTTTTGTGCATTAACAAAATAACCAGGAAAAATCATAAATGGCCGCTAACCAATTATTTTCGATAATTGATTCGGTTGTAATGAAGCAATCATCAATTATAAGATTTTAACCAATTTCCAACACTAGTGTCTGGTATTCCACCCATCAGTCCACATGACCACTGTCTATATGATCATTGATTCATTCCAGGCTCTAAGTAAGTATCTGAATGTACAGTACACTACAACATTTCTATACTTTACAGTACCCTCACATTACCAACAAGGACCTGTAAAATGTATTGATGGGGTCCCCTGGACCTGCGCTCCAGTTCAAGGTAAAACCCTGGTTAGAGTGAGCTCTTATAAACGACTTGTCAGACCTTGATGCAGGGGGATACTCATCAAAGAGTAAGATACAGTTGTAATGCAGTTGAACACACACATGGGCAAATATTTACCAAAGGGAGATAATCCATGTTTTTATCAAATTACCTCCCTTTGATGGTCGCCTGAAGGTTTGACTACATTAAGTTCAGAATCAGTTGTTTGGTCATCAGTTTTTGTGGAGATGATTGAATACAGATTTAGAAATCAGGCAGCTGTGAGTGAGTGAGTGAGTGAGTGAGTGAGTGAGTGAATATGGTTTTACGCCGCTTTTAGCAATATTCCAGCAAAATCACGGTGGGGTACACCAGAAATGGTCCGGCAGCTGTGACTGGATCATATTGTGTAAGTATATCCAGTAATTATTGCTAGCCATCATTTTCAAAAAAGGGGCATGCAGTGACAGATTTCCAGGTATTATGTTAAGTTATCCATGTATAGCGATTCCTGAAGCCTTAAAGTGCACTGTTATTTCACTTACCTTCAAAATGAAATAGAAACTAAAAAACACCAAGTGTTAATATCAATTATTGTATTAAAAAGGTCAGATCCATAGAGCAGAGTTATTTCACTTAACTTCAACATGAAATAGAAACTAAAAACACCAAGTGTTAATATCAAAGTATTGTATTAAAAAGGTCAGATCCTTAAAGTCTCAAAGAGCAGAGTTCTTTCACTTAACTTCAACATGAAATAGAAACGAAGATCCACAAGTTTTAAAATCAATTATTGCAATCAAGTGAAGGGCAGGGCACCAACTAATACGGGCAGGGTGCTGCCGAATGGAAACAATGACATGACATTTTTGGTAGAAGTGTGGACGGTGTGAAGCTTGAGAAAGGAAATGACTACATTCAACTAACATGTTGTATTTTTACACCTTCAAGCCCTGACTGAGTACAAGTGTAATAGCTATTGAAATGGCAAGGCATTAAAAAACAACATAACATTTTTTTAACTACTGAAATTGAAGAGAAAAGATTGATATGTATCTATACCGAAACGTCGCTATTGTACAATAAAGAAGTTGATCATCCACAAAGACTTGTCATTCCTATTACTTACAACTGCTATAATGCCTCTCAAACAGTTCAGAAAACATTTCAGTGTTGTTTAATGTTTAGGGTTCAGATTAAGTCCAGGACTTTCCTTCACTTGCACAAAAACAATCGCATCTACAATCAATTGTAGGCATTTGCAATTGAAATTACAATCGCGATCGTAACTCTTACAACTCTTGCACAAAAGCGATTGTAGCACAGTTGTAACTCATCTCATTTTACAATTGCGCGTCGTGTAGTTACAATCGTAATCTTCTGTGCTGAAATGGGGTAAACATGTGGTTAAAGTCATCAACATACTTATGAGTGTTTAGCTTTCGCCGCTTTTAGCAATATTCAAGCAATATCAATGCAAGGGACACCAGAAATAGGCTTCGCGACACTGTACACATGTGGGAAATCGAACCCAGTCCTTCACCATGACGAGCTTATCGCTTTAACCAGTAATTATTGCTAGCCATCATTTTCAAAAAAGGGGCATGCAGTGACAGATTTCCAGGTATTATGTTAAGTTATCCATGTATAGCGATTCCTGAAGCCTTAAAGTGCACTGTTATTTCACTTACCTTCAAAATGAAATAGAAACTAAAAAACACCAAGTGTTAATATCAATTATTGTATTAAAAAGGTCAGATCCATAGAGCAGAGTTATTTCACTTAACTTCAACATGAAATAGAAACTAAAAAACACCAAGTGTTAATATCAAGTATTGTATTAAAAAGGTCAGATCCTTAAAGTCTCAAAGAGCAGAGTTCTTTCACTTAACTTCAACATGAAATAGAAACGAAGATCCACAAGTTTTAAAATCAATTATTGCAATCAAGTGAAGGGCAGGGCACCAACTAATACGGGCAGGGTGCTGCCGAATGGAAACAATGACATGACATTTTTGGTAGAAGTGTGGACGGTGTGAAGCTTGAGAAAGGAAATGACTACACCAACTAACATGTTGTATTTTTACACCTTCAAGCCCTGACTGAGTACAAGTGTAATAGCTATTGAAATGGCAAGGCATTAAAAAACAACATAACATTTTTTTAACTACTGAAATTGAAGAGAAAAGATTGATATGTATCTATACGAAACGTCGCTATTGTACAATAAAGAAGTTGATCATCCACAAAGACTTGTCATTCCTATTACTTACAACTGCTATAATGCCTCTCAAACAGTTCAGAAAACATTTCAGTGTTGTTTAATGTTTAGGGTTCAGATTAAGTCCAGGACTTTCCTTCACTTGCACAAAAACAATCGCATCTACAATCAATTGTAGGCATTTGCAATTGAAATTACAATCGCGATCGTAACTCTTACAACTCTTGCACAAAAGCGATTGTAGCACAGTTGTAACTCATCTCATTTTACAATTGCGATCGTAAGTTACAATCGTAATCTTCTGTGCTGAAATGGGGGTAAACATGTGGTTAAAGTCATCAACATACTTATGAGTGTTTAGCTTTACGCCGCTTTTAGCAATATTCAAGCAATATCACGGCAAGGGACACCAGAAATAGGCTTCGCACACTGTACACATGTGGGAAATCGAACCCAGTCCTTCACCATGACGAGCGATCGCTTTAACCACTATACTACCCCAACGCCCAACATACTTTTGAATCTATGTGCAGGTGAGGTGAGGTGAGGTGAAATTGGGTTTAACGTTGTGCTTGAGAATATTTCGCTCATATGACGACGTGCATGCGTTTGTATGTGTATGTGCAGCTGCTTGTACTAGCCTAGACTGAAACTGGTTTAGTACTAGCCCACTGAGATACCATGCCGCAGTGAAGCATGAATACCCCACTCAGACACATTATACTGACTCCGAGCCGACCAGTCCTTGTTGTACCCATTAATGCCGAGAGCTAGACAGGGACCAACAAGTACCATACTTTACCGTCTTTTGGTATGACGTGGTTGGGGATCGAACCCCCGACCTTCCGCTCTCCGGGCGGACGCTCTAACCAGTACACCACGGGGTCAGTCGAAGCCATGTGTATACATGTTTGTGTGGCAGTTTGAACTAGTTGGGAATAGTACAGGTTTTATACAGCTAATGCTCTCAGGTACATGGACACCAACACACACACCTACTTGACACAGTGTACCAACACTGAGCCGACCAGTTCTGGTTTCATTTGGTTATACTTACAACCAAGTAGGGAAACAACAAACATAACCTTATAACACAGTGGGGTAGCCTAGTGGTTAAAACATACAAATGTCAAGTTGTTCAATTTCCCACACAGGTTCAATGAGCAGCTTTCACATCTTCCCATGGACCTGTGGAGATCCGAGTTAGAACTGATCTTCAGCAACCCATGCTTGTAGTAAGAGGTGACTAACAGGATCGGGTGGTCAGGTTCGCTGACTTGGTTGACACATGTCATCGTATCCCAATTGCGTAGATCGATCCTCATGCTATTGATCACTTGACTGTCTGGTCTAGACTCGATTATTTACAGACCGTCGCCATATAGCTGGAATATTGCTGAGTGTGATGTAAACTAAACTCACTCGTTCTTCTCGTATGACGAGGATGGGGATTGAACCATTGACCTGTCACCTGAAATATACCACTTACATCGCTCATGGTTTGTGCTAGAAACATCAATAAGCATACCTTAACAAGCCCTTTGTGTGTTGGCCAGCGGTCGATGACGCTCCACACCAGATTGCTGGGGCTTCGTCGTGTCATGTAGTGGCGGTAAATGGCATTCAGACTACTTCCTGTCGTAGAACAGCTGTATTGTGGGTACTGGGTGAAGGCAACAGCTCGCTCTATACCATCCCTGATGGAAACATAAAATGATGTCTAACATTTAATAAGGTGAATACAGAAACGAATTTAGTCTTAAACCAATAAATATTTTCCAACAATACACTCTCTATACATTCACTGAAAGTGTGAATGTTAACCAAAATGCTGTGATGAATATCTTCCCGATAATGGAAGAGATTTCAAACTACTAACCGCTAACTGGAGAACTATGGATGTCTTTGTCCCTCAGCGATCATAATTAAAGTGACGATGTTAAGCTGTCAAACGTTGTCGTCATGAGGTACAAATCACAAGATTCACAAAGCCACACGCACACTGAATAGTGACGGGTGTATTTGGGCGGCTGACCCCCTAAAAAACCAAGAACAGTTGTTTCCTTCTGTTCATTCAGTTAACATCAAACTTGATCCAGAACCCAGCACATAAACAGCAAAGTCGGAACCATACGAACCAGTGAGTGAGTGAGTGAGTGAGTACTTTTAGCAATATTCCAGGGATATCATGGCGGGGGACACCAGAAAATGGGCTTCACACAATTGTACCCATCTGGGGAATCGAACGCGGGTCTTCAGCGTGACGAGCCCACGCTTTACCCACTACGCTACCCCATCGCCCGGACTGAGCATGAGAATTTTCACCCTTCAGAAATGGAACTGGAGTATGAAAATATCAAATTTGATTTGATACAAGTGAAATGGGACTTTTCTTGGATTCCAGGAAGTGCAGTAACCTGGTGGTTGAAGCGTTCTAAGCTGTCTAATATAGATGGAATACTGCAGAGTGCAAATTTAAACAACAAGACACAAACAAAATAACAATTGCTCCACTCTTGAAAATATTCTAAAAGCACTTATCCCAGTGTCTGAGATGAAAATATGGTATTAAAACAATATTTTATTATCATTACTAAACTAACATTTGTATAGTGCTGACATCCAGCTCAGCTGCTCAAAGGCACTTTGTTTTTCCCTCGATCACTGGATGTCGATCTCTATGGCACGGCCTATTATCAATCTCAACTCCCTGGGGAACATACAACTCTTGCAGCCACTAGGCACACTGAGTTAGTGTGGCTTTCCCATCCTTATGAGGTACCCATTCACAGCTGGGTGGACTGGGACACATAGTCACAGTACTTTGTCCAAGTTCACTGCACGTTGCTGAACCGCAACTAGGTGTTTCCACGTATTCATGTGGCCACCATCTGGTCATTTACCAACAGATTTGTGGGTTCTTTTAAGTGCACAGGGTTGTGTACTGTACACTAGGGGTTGTGACAACACTGAAATAATCTGCACACAAAGTTGAATCCAAGGTTTTTACACTCGGTCACTGGTGGGCTCGTTCCTGTCACTTCAAGCTTGTGGGATCACTAGCCTGGCACCTTACCCAGCTCGCCCACTATGACGTGTTACATTATTTCTGAACAATAAGAACTTACTCCTCCATCTGCTCAATGGCATCTTCCGTCAGAGGGTTGGCGTATCGAAAACCCACATAGAACTTGTGAGGAGCTGAAAAAGACACGACAAATTCCAGTTCACCAGTGTGAGAAATAGCCACTGGCCCTCTAGCCCATGGCTCGAAAAAATCCAGCTGGGCCAATAAATCTCCACAGTCACTAACCCGGCTAGCAAAATTTGGAAACTATTTCGCACAATGCAGTATACAGACAGTTTGAAATACCACACTAAACATAAAATGTTTCCAAACACTTCTACATATATTCTGTATTTTGTTTTCTATAATTCTCTATACTTCCATTATATTCTATTTGCAAAATCTACTTAATTTAAGGAGGGAGTTTGTCTTCAATTTTGTACACATGCACTAGGGGCACTTACATTGTACATGCTTCTCTATATATAGACCTGTTGATCTTCAGCAACCCATGCTTGTCGTAAGAGGTGACTAAAGGGATTGGGTGGTCAGGCTCGCTGACTTGGTTGTCACATGTCATTGGTTCCCAATTGCGCAGATTGATGCTCATGCTGTTGATCACTGGATTGTCTGGTCCAGACTCGATTATTTACATACTGCCCCCATATAGCTGGAATATTGCTGAGTGCGGCGTAAAACTAAGCTCACTCACTTCTCTATAAAAATCATCATCACCTCCCCAAGCCATAAATTACGTACAGTCCCTTACCAAACGACCGCCTCCATGGTGTAGTGGTTAGAGCGTCCGCCTGGAAAGCGGAAGGTCGCAGGTTCGATCCCTGACCGCGTCATACCAAAAGACATTAAAATATGGTACTTGTTGGTCCCTTCTGGCATTAATGGGTACAACAAGGACTGGTCAACTCGGAGTCAGTATAATGTGTCTGAGTGGGGTATTCATGCTTCACTACGGCATGGTATCTCAGTGGGCTAGCACTATAAAACCAGCTGCCGCACATACACATACACACGCTTGCACGTCGTCATATGAGCGAAATATTCTCAAGCACGACGTAAAACTCAATTTCACCTCACCTCACCCTTACCAAAATATCAATTCATCAAAAGGGTAAAAGTACGAGCCAAGATTCAGTTTCCTCACGCTGTAAATTTTGTGGAACAATCCAGTTATCTACAACATGGGCATGGTTATGGTTGCACACAATTCATGACATGTAATCCCAAGCTGCCTCTTACAACAAGCACTCTAACCCATATCTTCAAAAATGGCTGCTGAAGTAGATCAAATTCAAAACAGTTGACAAACTGGTGAGACCAAGCATCGAAAACATAAGTGGTTTGTCAGTTTCCTAGGAGATGATGCTTATAATACAAGGGTATTAAGGAATGTGTGAAAACCAAATTCAGATTCAGATGGTAAATATTGTGAAAAGCAGACCAAATGAGTCGTTTACTTTAATAATTTGTCAGGTTTTAGAACAAAATACAAGTGAGTGCTACAACACTGGCAGGGAAGATGGTGGTATCAATGGCGGTATTTGCGCTACAAGCTCCTGTGATTCAGACAACGACACAAACTCACCTGTTTCTGGGCTGATTTTATCAAGGATGTCTACCATTCCTTGTCCCTGTGTCTCGGTCCATCTCTTGATGGGTGAGCCGCCTCCAATCTTACGGTACTGAGTCTGTATGCTGGGTGTTCTCCGCTTGGCGATGTAGGGGGCCAGTTTACTGTAAAACACAACCAATATTTACTGACACCTTGCGATGTAGGGGGCCAGTTTACTGTAAACACAACCAATATTTACTGACACCTTGCGATGTAGGGGGCCAGTTTACTGTAAAAACACAACCAATATTTACTGACACCTTTGCGATGTAGGGGCCAGCTTACTGTAAAAACACAACCAATATTTACTGACACCATGCGATGTAGGGGGCCAGTTTACTGTAAAACACAACCAATATTTACTGACACCTTGCGATGTAGGGGGCCAGTTTACTGTAAAACACAACCAATGTTTACTGACACCTTGCGATGTAGGGGGCCAGTTTACTGTAAAACACAACCAATCTTTACTGACACCTTGCGATGTAGGGGGCCAGTTTACTGTAAAACACAACCAATATTTACTGACACCTTGCCATGTAGGGGGCCAGTTTACTGTAAAACACAACCAATATTTACTGACACCTTGCGATGTAGGGGCCAGTTTACTGTAAAACACAACCAATATTTACTGACACCTTGCCATGTAGGGGGCCAGTTTACTGTAAAACACAACCAATATTTACTGACACCTTGCCATGTAGGGGCCAGTTTACTGTAAAACACAACCAATATTTACTGACACCTTGCATGTAGGGGCCAGTTTACTGTAAAACACAACCAATATTTACTGACACCTTGCCATGTAGGGGCCAGTTTACTGTAAAACACAACCAATATTTACTGACACCATGCGATGTAGGGGCCAGCTTACTGTAAACACAACCAATATTTACTGACACCTTGCGATGTAGGGGCCAGTTTACTGTAAAAAACACAACCAATATTTACTGACACCTTGCCATGTAGGGGCCAGTTTACTGTAAAACACAACCAATATTTACTGACACCATGCGATGTAGGGGCCAGCTTACTGTAAAACACAACCAATATTTACTGACACCTTATGATGTAGGGGCCAGTTTACTGTAAAACACAACCAATATTTACTGACACCTTGCGATGTAGGGGCCAGTTTACTGTAAAACACAACCAATATTTACTGACACCTTGACACCATGTAGGGGGCCAGTTTACTGTAAAACACAACCAATATATACTGACACCTTGCGATGTAGGGGGCCAGTTTACTGTAAAACACAACCAATATTTACTGACACCTTGCATGTAGGGGCCAGTTTACTGTAAAAACACAACCAATATTTACTGACACCTTGCGCGATTTTAGGGCCAGTTTACTGTAAACACAACCAATATTTACTGACACCATGCGATGTAGGGGGCCAGTTTACTGTAAAACACAACCAATATTTACTGACACCTTGCGATGTAGGGGGCCAGTTTACTGTAAAACACAACCAATATTTACTGACACCTTGCGATGTAGGGGCCAGTTTACTGTAAAACACAACCAATATTTACTGACACCTTGCGATGTAGGGGCCAGTTTACTGTAAAACACAACCAATATTTACTGACACCTTGCGATGTAGGGGGCCAGTTTACTGTAAAACACAACCAATATTTACTGACACCTTGCCATGTAGGGGGCCAGTTTACTGTAAAACACAACCAATATTTACTGACACCTTGTGATGTAGGGGGCCAGTTTACTGTAAAACACAACCAATATTTACTGACACCATGCCATGCCGATGTAGGGGCCAGTTTACTGTAAAACACAACCAATATTTACTGACACCTTGCGCATGTAGGGGCCAGTTTACTGTAAAACACAACCAATATTTACTGACACCTTGCGATGTAGGGGCCAGTTTACTGTAAAAACACAACCAATATTTACTGACACCTTGCCATGTAGGGGCCAGTTTACTGTAAAACACAACCAATATTTACTGACACCTTGCATGTAGGGGCCAGTTTACTGTAAAACACAACCAATATTTACTGACACCTTGCCATGTAGGGGCCAGTTTACTGTAAAACACAACCAATATTTACTGACACCTTGCGATGTAGGGGCCAGTTTACTGTAAACACAACCAATATTTACTGACACCTTGCGATGTAGGGGGCCAGTTTACTGTAAAACACAACCAATATTTACTGACACCTTGCCATGTAGGGGGCCAGTTTACTGTAAAACACAACCAATATTTACTGACACCTTGCGATGTAGGGGGCCAGTTTACTGTAAAACACAACCAATATTTACTGACACCTTGAGATGTAGGGGGCCAGTTTACTGTAAAACACAACCAATATTTACTGACACCTTGCGTTGTTGGGGGACAGCTTACTGTAAAACACCAATATGTACTGAACCCTTCAGAACTCATTCGGGGTTTAGCTATTTTCCCCCCAATATCCCAATATGTTTGTGCCGGTGTGTTTGTTTTTGTGCATGTGTTTGTGTGTGCAGGTGATTGGGTATGCAGGTGTTTGGGTGTGCAGGTGTTTGTGTGTGCAGGTGATTGGGTATGCAGGTGTTTGGGTGTGAAGGTGTTTGGGTGTGCAGGTGATTGGGTATGCAGGTGTTTGGGTGTGCAGGTGTTGGTGTTGGTTGGTGTCTATGTGTGCGAGTGTGTTAGTCTGCATGTTTCTGTGCATGAGTGTGTGTTAGTGTGAGTAAATGTGTGTGAGAGTGAGTGTTGGTGTGTGCAACACAGAGAGAGAGAGAGTGGAACACTCTCTTACAGAGAGAGAGAGAGAGAGAGAGAGAGAGAGAGAGAGAGAGAGAGAGAGAGAGAGAGAGAGAGAGAGAGAGAGAGAGAGAGAGAGAGAGAGAGAGAGAGAGAGAGAGAGAGAGAGAGAGTGTGTGTTAGCGTTGGTGGTTGGGTGTTTGTGTGTGTTAGTATGTGAGTGGGGGATTCTGCATTAGGGTGGGAGGGGTGTGGGAGAGGAGGAGGGGAAGGTTACTGAGATCACTAGTTACCTCTGTGCAGGCAGGGGAATCAGGTCCTTGTCCAGGAACAGACGCAGGAGAAAGTCGTGAACATCTTCTGTCTTCTCCGGACCGCCCAGATTCAACATGAGTATACCAGTCTTGGGCTTGCCACTGAAAGTGAGGAAACTAAAAGTAAACTAAATGTTTATTAAAGCACAACAGATAATACACACAAGAAACGCTCCATTCACTAAAAACATGAATCAAGGTATATATTTTTTATCTCCCCCTCTGAACCTTTAACATGAGTTAGATAGTCTTCATCACAATACTGATATTGTAACACAGTTTTTCACAAATCACACAAGACTAATGCATTGGTATTTTGTTGATGTCAGGGATAGAAATGTAAAATTCAGGTGTGCCCTAACACATTGAAGTGTGCCAAGGATCATGATGACACTGTAATAAAGATTTATCAATATAAACAATACAGAAAATGACTTTGATGTTCTTTTTAATTAAACACTGTCACATAAAGCTTTTGTACTCCACAGGGATTGTTAATTTTGCATCAAGTTTAGTTACTCACTGACTTGACTCTTCAACATCAATACTAGAGCTATTACTTAAGCTGACACTTCTAGCCTAGGGCCATAAGCAGGGGTCCATCTCCTTTACCCCCCTCATCCATCTTGCTATAGCCCCTCTGGGGTTGTATCCTGCAAGTGGGGTCTGGCACTGGGCAACTGTCATGAGTTGAGAGAGGGTGGAGGGCTTCAGATCTCCAGTCTGTTTTTACTCTGCTCATCATGGAGAACCCTCTCTCACACTCAGCAGAGGACACAGCAAGAACAAGAGATATCTGTACAAGGGACAGTATGTTACTGTACCTCTTGTACACTTTGTCCTGTCTCATCACTTTAGATGACCAAAGATCTATGTAGGAAATGTCTGGAGTTCTCTTGAAGAGATGAGGCCTCCATGCGAACATCTGGCATTTCAGTGAGGCATGACTCCTTGGATATATCATTCTTCATGAGGTATTCTGTGAGGTGGTTTGTGATTTGTTTTACTGCTTCCTTCCCAAACGAAGCAAACCCATCTTTATTCTGTGGCCAACTTACAGGAGTGAAGATGTGGAAGGCCTCCATCACACCAATATTGCCTTCAAACTCTGCAATCCTACCATGCAAGGCTTCAGCTGTGTTTTTGGTTAGTGTTTTGAACTCTGTCTTGACTTTTTTTATGACAGTAGCTTCAGTGGAACAGCCCCTCTTCTTGTTTTCAAGTTGTACAGTCTTGTATTTACCATCAACTACATCCTCTTTGAGAAAATCTACAGCCATCTTATCCACATCAGTTTCTGTCATCTTGGCACATGCAGCATGCATCCTGGCTGGGATGAGATCAATGAAGGTGTCATTGTCCTGGAAAACATCTGATAACATGGCACACGCAGCAAATTAAAACAGCATCATGTGCGTGAATAGGACAAACTCTAGTGACTTCAAACGATCCAATATGTGCCTTACTTTGGCTCCGGAGTCACCTCTGTTGGTCATGCTCACTTGAGTACAGTGTGTGTAGACAGCTATATAGTCAGTGTTCAATGCCATCAGGGCTCTGTGTCTATGCCCTGTCCACTTTGTACCATATATGTTCACTGGCCTAATCACCTTAATGCTAAGGGCTTCTCCTGTTTCCTGTAGTCCAGTCCAGTTTAGTGGAGAATAATGGTAGAACCTATAGACGTCCTCCATGAGCTTGTCAAGAGAACTCAACAAGGACAGATCTATCCAAGCATTCTTCATGGCCAGCTCCAATCGGTGTGCGATACATAATTGTGTCTGTACTGTCTTGTGCAATAAACTTCACAAATGTTCTTGACTGTTTATCACTACAATAGTTTTTCATAAGATCTACATCAAAATTCACGGTCTGAAGTCTCAAAAGTTCAACAAACTCTGTAAAGGTCATTTCACGTTGTGCGAGGTGGAAAGCTGTTACAAATAGTTTGCTTAATTTTGCTGTCTCTCTTTCATTAAGATGTATCATCCCCTTTTCAATTTCTGACTGGCCTGGTTTAATTTCTGAAGCATACTGGGCACTTAGTGCAAGTATGTGTTCATCATTTGCCACATGGTTTTACAGTTTACTTGTTCTAAATCCCCGTGAACCTGTCACAAAGTGATTAGGCTTTCCATCTATTCCAACCGGACGGCCAAACTCCATGCAAACTTTGCAAAATAGCAGATTCCTTTCCCTGTCACAAATAAGCCATTTACTGTATTTTGGCGGAGGCCAGCTTTGGGGAATGCCTCGTGTCTGTTTCTTGTCATCTTCGGTCTTACATGTTTGGACACATTCAGCATCGCTATCGGCAGTTTCAGTTTCATTAGTGGCAGATACGTTACACTAACTACAAAGTGCCTGTCGGCTCTGTTCAAGGCCAGTTAACACTTTCAGAGGTTTCATTTATTTTGGCCTGCCTGGGCTTGAAGAAATTTAAAATTGTTTTGTATTTCTTCTCGGACATTTTAGCTAGATCTATTGTCTGCTTCATCGCATGGTGTAAACATCCTGTCCCAGAATGCAAAGAATGACGTCATGTTACCTCCTGTCATACGCAATTGAAACCAAAATGGTGGCGCCCATGAGAATAACAAATAACAGACGCTGCAAGATTTCATTTTGGGATATGTTTTGAATGTCAGAATGTCAAAAGTAAACATTTTATCAGTTTTATTGAAAAATGAAGACAGTAAGGTGAATTTTAAGCGTGCCATTATGGCACATCTGAGTAATTGTATCCGTGCCATTTTCAAATTACCGTGCCCTCGGCACGCAAATAAGGGGAATTTCGATCCCCGGATGTTGATACTGTATTGATACAAATTTATGGATATAGCTAATACATTCAGTGTTTCCATTATCCGGTATATACCAGGCTTTGACCGGTTAGAATGTCCAGTTATTTCAAAGGTTGTCGGTCATCGTGTCAGGCGAATTTGAAATCAATTTTCTAATTACCTCTTTCAATTTTATTTCTATTAGCTATACCACAGCCCCCCACTAATTGACTAAGACCGCCTCCATGGTGTAGTGGTTAGAGCGTCTGCCCGGAGAGCGGAAGGTCGCGGGTTCGATCCCCGGCCGTGTCAAACAAAAAGACGTTAAAATATGGTACTTGTTGGTCCCTGCCTGGCGATCGGCATTAATGGGTACAAGGACTGGTTGACTCGGAGTCAGTATAATGTGTCTGAGTGGGGTATTCATGCTTCACTACGGCATGGTATCTCAGTGGGCTAGCACTATAAAACCAGCTTAAGTCTGGGCTAGTACAAGCAGCCGCACATACACATACACATGCATGCACGTCGTCATATGAGCAAAATATTCTCAAGCATGACGTAAAACCCAATTTCACCTCACCTCACTACTAATTGACTAGATTTGGCTAATTACCCTGGAATATTTTCTTTATTCGTATACTACAGAAAAACTATTGTATCCTTTTCAGTTATTTGTGATCTGAGGAATATAAGTATCTAAAACCATTATTTTACCAACAGAAATAAATTCTAACATTGTGCCATTTTAAAATTACAGGTTCTCTTGCATAATTGTAAAATATTTATAATCATAACTAAGTTTATGCGGCAGCAATTTGGTGTTATGTCGGATAGTTTTTACGCATGGAACATGTCCTGAATTAAAAAATTCGTAATTTTTTAATGTTATCGTAGTCGCGTACTTAGTGTTTATATTTCCTATCGCATCTCTGCGATACATAAGTTTCATGAATCGATACGTATCACAATACCCATGTCACAATTCGATATGTATCACGATACCCATTTTCGCTGCATTATTGTGTAAATTTAGTTACATTTTGAACATTAATATTTCATATTTTATAATTGTCCATGAAAAGATCAACATTTTTGATTCGCAGATATTAAAAAGTTCGAACTAACCTGTAGAGGTTTAAGATTCTTTGAATATATTCCTCCTTGGGGTACTTATAAGCATTTAAATGTCCATTTAAAATCCCTACGACAGTTGTAACAATATTTTGAATAAAATATTTACAAAACAAAAACTACGTTTTGTCTTGTGAGACCACCCTTACAGGGCCCTCTGGCCCCCTACAGCCAAGAGCAGGTAACTCCAGACCGTGAACCCTCAGCATCTCACTTTCCATGCTGAACGAAGTCAGACAGAATGCGGGGGAGGTGGGTGAAATTCTGGCAAGGAGGAATATATTCAAAGAATCTTAAACCTCTACAGGTTAGTTCGATTCTTTTATATATTCCTCCTTGGGGTACTTATAAGCATAAGACAGACTCCTAAAGACGGATCTCAGGAGCTGCATTCTGTCTGCTTAAACACCCCGACAAGAAGTGGAATTTCCCAAGCTAATTATAGCAGAAAAGGCACACTTACCCGTCACGGTCCACCAAAGCCAATCAGGCGGGGCATGAGCCAGGGTCAGGGGTAAACGATGCAAATTTTGTCCAGCGAAACCTCGCTAATGCAACGAACGAGACACACCTCCCTCCTTCCCGTAATCTACTCGAAGTGAAGATAAGGGTCCCATAATAAACCCAGAAACGAAATGCCGTGAACAGCAAAGTTTCCAAGGGCAGTTTAGTCTATCGCTTCTCGTTAGAAAGCAAGAGACATGGGAATAAAAAACCATCACCACATAAAACCCATCACCAAGGGGAAATGTAACAAGATTTGTAAAACCCAACACCAGTGTTAAAAAATTGGCAGATAACGGTTCACACAATAAAACCTCGAAGCTCAATCGGCAATCGGCTAGAGAGGTGGAACCATGCCCACTGGAGAGAACTGACTGACCGAACCGAGCACGCCACTGGAGAGTCTGTCAAGTTGGTAATGACGGATGAACGTACTTCCTCGGACGGCTCCAAATAGCCGCTGAGCAGATCTCCTCAATGGGCAGGGCTGCAGCGTAAGCTGTCGATGTAGCCACTGCCCTAACCGAATGAGCCTTCAACCCTACAGGCGGGATGCGCCCTGTTTGAGTATAGCTCATGTGTATGGCAGAGACAAGCCACCTAGAAATGGTTTGCTTGGTCGCCGAAGACCAGCCTGAACCCCGCCATAACAACAAAACAATTGGTTACCCTTTACGGGTA